TTTGCTCTACTTCGAAGTTGCACTGTACGTTTCTCTAGAATTGACGAACAAAAGTGTAAAAAACAAATGATTACATCACAGGAAAATTTTAACTTGAAGTTATTATACTACTTGCATGTTAACATGGCATTGCCTGTAATCGATAATTTTAAATTAAAATACTCGAATTAAATATTCGAATCTTGCTGAAAATGATAAAGCAATTGAATTTTAAATCATGAAAGTCACGTTCAAACTAACATTGTACATATGACCATCATTTAACACACTTTTCAAGGCACGGAAAGACTATTTTGTGTCTTTGAACTTAAATTGATTTACTAATTGAAAAATATAATTGCAATTTTTATCCTATTCCTTTCTTCCCAAAGCGAGCATATTGCAATGTCTTAACTATTAGGTACTATTCTCCCACTATGTTCTCGACGCAGTGTTTATAATAAATCTTGATTTCCAGGTAATATTTTGACTCACAAACTCACAAACTTCCACCAAAATAACAATCTCTAACAAATACTATATTTGATAGCGAAAGATAACTGACATGTCTGCATTCAAACCATTTGCCTTAGAAGACAAATGGACAAAAAATTAATTAATAATATTAATATAAATATTCACATATATTATGTTTCACCAAATACATTTATTCACTGTTGAAAACCTTAACCTTTAAGTTCCATCCATCGATACGAAGCTACCGATCACGATTGTGTGCATCGAGATGTCTTGCACAGATGCGTTTCTAAATGAATGAAAAGCAGCGTTAAGTTTAACTAATACTTAAATTTAATACCATAAAGAGGTATTGGAAAGTTTAAAAGTGATATAGACTACTGATAACATATTAGTCCCCCAACTGTGGTCATTTGGCGTAATCTTTTCTCATCAGAAAATCGTAAGCATTTTCTGTGCGGCGGAAGATGTTCGCTTGAAGTTTTTTGTGGACAAGGCCCACGGCTGATCATCGTTGGGGCGGAAATTCAGAGTAAAGGACCAAACAAGATTAAGAAGACTGTATACGTCCCGCGGCCTGAGTTGTTTATAAGAAGACCAACAGGAAGTTTGGAGACTTGGAGCAATCACCGGACCGTACGTAGTTCTCTGCTACCGACTACCGAAAAACCCGAACACGGAAGACCATCGCGGCACGGAGGCCTGCTACTCGTGAGAACGCAGAGTTCTCCGCTGATGCCAAGCCAACGCAAGCCATGGATGCTTGCAGCTTCTCCGAAGCATTTGGCTTGATTTTGAGCAGCTGAGTTTTCGCCAGACTTTGTCAACTGCTGCTGTCGACATTGTTATCTTGGTTCATTTATTTCCTTTTATTAAGTTAATAGATGCACTTAGTAGCTATATCATTTTCCAGTCAGCGTCGACAGGTAATTCACGAAGAATATTTGATATAGTATTCCCACTTATTATCCATGAATGTCAGGCGTCATTAAAAAACTGCTGATAATAAACGCTGCGTACGCGAGCTGATAATAATAATAAAAGCTGCGGACGCGAGCTGAATGAGTAGCTGCTCACATTTAAATGAACATATTATTGTTACTCGTTGATCATCGAGTTGCAGATAATTGAACGATATTATCTCACTATACGCATCATGCTTTTTTATAATCAGTATTCGCAAAATCTTCGCCAAGATCGAATGAGCTACGCACAAAGCCAATGTAAATTCGAGTCCTTCATTTTTTATTGATTGGATTGGTGGAAAGTAGCCCAATTTGGATTAATCCGACGACTCAATATCATTAGATTATTCACTGTTCCTACAATCCAAGTGGTTTGACTGGCATCGAACGAATGCTGCTAGTATCAACGAACCCTGCTAGTATTAACGAACCCTGCTTGTATTAATGAACATTGCTTGTATTAATGAACATTGCTTGTATTAACGAACCCTGCTTGTATCAACAAACCCTGCTTGTATTAAAGAACCTTGCTTGTATTAACGAACCAAACTTGCATTAGCATTACGAGCCCTGCAGGCTGCTTGTATTAACGAACCCTGCTTGTATGAAGGAACCCTGCTTGTACAGGGTGCGCCACAGAAACTTACTTATTTGAAAAAATTTCTGTGCGGTTAGTTGGTTGGGTAGAGGAGCGAGAGGGGGTGCATCTGAAGGGGAAAGTTCCCAAGTTTGTTTCTCAAAGTTTTTTCAAATAAATTTGCTGTAGTGCAAGAATTAACTGAACGCGATTTTGTTGCCCCTCAAAATGCATGTAAAATTCTGGTTGACAACCTGCCTGAAGACGCGGTCGTTTTTTTCAGTGGCGAGGCTCACTTCCACATTTCCGGCTGCGTTAACAAGCTAAACATGCGTTATTGGTGTGGTGTAAATCCACGTGAGTTTCACCAGAAGCCACTTAACTGTGAGCGAGTTACTGTCTGGTGTGCGACGTCGGTAATGGGAATAATTGGTCCTTATTTTTTTAAGAAAACGAACGCGCAGTTACCGTTAATGGAGCTCGTTACAGGAACATGATCGAGCAACTTTTTCTTCCAAGACTCGAAGAAATGAACTTTAGGAACGTGTGGTTTCAGCAAGATGGAGCCACAGCGCACATAGCACGAGACTCGATGAATTTGTTGCGACAACATTTCCCCGACCGCCTCATCTCTCTCAGAGGCGATCTCCAATGGCCGCCACGCTCTCCAGGTTTGACTCCATGCGATTTCTTTTTATGGGGATATTTGAAATTTCTGGTTTATGTCGATCGACCACGGACCATAGCACACCTCAAGAACAACATTCGCGACGTCATTGCCAAAATACCGATTGATATGCTGCATAGAGTGGAAACCATTATGAAAAAAGCGACTTCATTAGTTTATGCGCAATGGAGGCCGTCATTTATGAGATTTAATTTTCAAAACTGTATGAAAAAAAATTTGGGATACTGTTTTCTCGAATAAAAAAATTTAAAACAATAGCTGGAGTACTTTTGTTTTTATTGCCCTTTCAAATAAGTAAGTTTCTGTGGCGCACCCTGTACTAACGCACCCAGGCCTGCTTGTATTAACGCACCCTGCTTGTATTCAGCAGCTCGCGGGTAGAAGCAACTCACAGGCCGCGCGTCCTGCAGGAATTTACTCACGGGGTGGCAGGCGCTGCCTGATTGGTCCTGTTCATCGACACGGTATCGATTCCATCTCGGCCAAGAATTGATTTTGCGGCCCGGAAGTGAGTCCATGAATCGAACAATAAAGCAGACTTTTTTTAATTGGACAGATTTTTTTAAGTGTCTTTTTTTCTAAGACTTTATTTTGTAATCTAGCGTTTCGATCGTATGTCTCACGGGCGATAAGCCGAAAGGGCACTTGATCATGTGATAAAATTGAGAGCGTTCGAAAGATTGAGTTTTCTTATACCACGGTTTCATTAAGTTTTACTGGTAGGTGTTCATTTTAATAAATTTTAATCTTAGAATAAAACTAATAGATATAAATAAACTAAACAAACGATTTACGGCCGTACAAGTGCATCGTGCAATATTATCATCATCTCACAAGATCCTCCAAGCCTCTCGTAACATCTCTGCAGAGCTTGTAAGAGTTTCACGCCGCGGTTCCAATTAAAATATAAACGCAGTGGATTATCCGGAGGCGTTTACAGTTTTGACGATTGATTTTGTGAAAATATCAGTAAAAGGATGCGAATACTGTACATTCGATGTTATATAAGGGTAACTGATAATGACTCCACGAGTTCATTCGCCCTATAAATCATTAATTATTCTTATAAATCATCTAATTTATTGAGAATTTACGGAACAGATCGTTCATGTAATGGAGCTGTGATTTGATGGAAAACTTGAAGTGCAACCAAATTTAGTCGTCAGGAATTAAAACAAAAATCTCGCTCTTATGCCTGCACCAAACAGATAGTGATTTGATACAGTATAATTGTACACTGTACAGTATAATTATAAGTGGCACTTCCACTACAACTGTCCGCAAGTCACTGATATAGACTAGCTAGGTCGTCCCAACTCCAACACAGCTTTAATTCAAGTTAACGGTCGCACCAATTAGGCGACTGCGATACTATCGTCTTTCGGTCATCATGGTGCCCAATTAAGAGCTTAACGATGAAAACCATTATAGTTTCATTGAACTATACCTCACTCTATTAAAAGAGCTTGATATGAAATATTTGAAAGAATTACTCTTTATATCACAATACTTGATTGCATTTGACTTTGTATAAAAAAGCGAGAGAGTTAATAATGTTTTGCGAAAATAAGCATAAATGCTTTTACGAAGAATAGCTAAAATCGCAATTAATGCAACAAAAGAACGAATTAAATAAAACTTCATTTGAATAACGGATGAGATGTAATAATGTTACGCACGTTTGTTCATGTCGGCGGCCACTTACCGCCGCACGAAGAATATTCAAATGCTTACTATCAGCGCCTAACACCTCTGTAATTAGTTATTTTAGCGTGATCTTTCGATCGCATTTACCCGATGAAAAGCATTTCATAAATCCAAAACTAGATTAAAATCGTAAAATAAAAATCTGTGTTATAAATTCCCTCTCATATAAATTTGAGTTTATTTTACATAGGGTTTATTTTATAGCAAATGAAAGCCATGTAAAAGACTGTGTCATGTATATCCATGCAAGATTGAATAAGTTATAAGAATTTTGCCGCATTCGATAGGAGGTATTTTACTAACTTCGTTACCTCATCGCCCACAAATGACGGGGGTTCTACTTCACCTGCAGTTCATTGAAGAATTCATTCTCTATCACACTCACTGCCCCTCCAAGATCAACTCGCTCATCAGCCTCGGAAGCCCATCATCACCCGCATCTCCACGCCGCGGCTAATCCCTCTCTCGAAATTGCTCAATTCACATGGAGCCGCGGTAGCGATTGTCCTCTTTTTTTTTCTAGCTGATTGTTCTCTTCTTCTTATATTGGCGTGTGATGTTACTGGCTGGAGATGCTCCGCCTCTACTAGAAGACTAGAGGCGATTTGTCTCAGTGTGGTTGCAACGCTCGATGAGGTTGGTTGTAGGTTCAGCTCTTGCTGAGCAACCTAACTTGGATAGACTTTTCGCGCGCTGTCATCACAAAGGTGCCGGGAAGCTACATCTGCATTTCATGCTTGTTCTTTAATGAAGTGTGTAGAGAGACTGCTCATTTGAATACTGAGAAGAAGGAGCTTATTCTTTATTGGGATTTTGTACTTACGTAAGCAATGACAAATTGCTGTTGAGTTGTGAAACTAATTATTAACTCGTGAGACACAATGGATAGTTTGTGTCTGAGAACAAACCGAATGAAGTGAAAATATCAAATTCTCATACACGTCGTACTTGCGGTTGGCTCTGGAGATATTAAATTTCGTCGACTCGTTCTGGACACCTGACCATGAAGTTCAACAACAGCAAGTATCTAGGCTCACGATTATGTAGTGCACACTTGTTAATTTGTTATTGTGCAGCGTAGTGCCGATTTAACTGACACGCTGACATTCCAGTTGTCGCCTTCGTCTTGATTATCTTTTAGTGACCATGCATTCACTAGCTATTCATATTTGTGAGATCGCAGATCTCATAAAAACCAACGAGTTTATTCAAATTTCATATTATTTTAGTTTTTGTCCTAGGTAGTAGGTTCCCTGATTTACTCTCCTCAGTTATTTAGTTTAATTGCCATGTGCAATTTTATTCACGCTATAGTTTTCACTTTTCGGGAATGGTTCCTGCAACTTTGTAAAAAAGTTTTTGGGTATTTTACGACTGGTTGTATGCATTTTAGGTAAGTCTCGCAAGAACACTTCTCATTTCAATTACATACAGAATTCTTAGACTCGTTTATCGGCCTGTTCAATTTATTTGCTAAATTCCTGATGCCAAGTGGGAGAATTATGATCAAATAAAATCGTTATTTAAAAAAAAGGATTAGCTGACGATTGTCCGTGGACTGAGACTAGAAGACAGAAGTTAAACGGTATTGCATGAGTCTTATTCTACGTATATTTCAATATATGAGCGATAAACGACAATATTCGTTGGCATCATCGTTATTTGTAATAATTATGTGCCTGAGTGCAGACATTTTTTATTTAATCGAATTCTCAGTTTTGATCATTGAAATCTATAGGCTATCGTATAGGTATGTGGTTACGTGTGTTTACAGCGAAAATTTAATTATCTAGTTTACTTTTTATACCAGCGGGCGAAATATTATGGGAATTAGATGTTCACACGGGGAAAAGTGGTTATTGCTTCACAAACCATAAATTAGGCAGTTATGCGAATATTCAATTTTCATTCTCACGTAGGTGAAGAGTTTTTACTATTTACAACACTTGAAAGTTGAAAAATCCGGTGGTTTGCAAATTGATAGCTGGAGTTGGAGAACCTCGCTCTTGATGTGAACCTCTGCTATTGCCAGTCTCGCAGTGTAGGGGTACCGCATGATGATGCTGGTGACGGTATCACATGATGATGCTGGTGACGGTTTCCTTATGATCGTTCTCCTTATGGTTCTTTGGTCCTTTAGTTTGTAGGTGGCATGTGAGTCGGCGGCTCAGAGTTGTGCTGGTCAAACCGACGAATTTTACATTTTGGAGAAGTCTACAACCTTCTTTCGTGCAGGATAATTTGTAAATAACATTGTTTTCGTGCAGTGGTCCCGACTTTTTACATGGGCTATTTTTCATGATTAAATTCTTGAATTTTCTTGTTTCTGTTGTAAATCATGAGTTTTTTTCCTTCTGTTTGTGCACTCATATGGAGTACCGTAGGCATTGTATGGGAATATCAATGGCACTGTAAAGAATAATCGAAGGATGCTAAAGATTAGAACAGAGGATGCATTAAACATTGATGGGTGCGTCAATAAGAGCGAAGCGTTACGTGAGGCGCAGTTTGTAACTTGCATGTCCCACATATGTATTATGTCTGAATGTCGCGTCAATAGTGCACCGCATGATCAGCGGACTTAATTTGTAAGCAGGATACTCCTGTTATCGCTGCCGTGCTGAAACTTCCTCCAGCTTACTCTTGGGAGACTCAGCTGGACTGCATGTGGGGCTATTAAGGCCCTCTGCGCGATACCTAAGGACGATTATATGATTTCAGCTTACCTATACAGACGTTAGTAGTACCGAACGATAAAAGAACAAATGAATTTCATTCAATCTTTGTATGATCGATTTGTACGAGTACGAAGGCACACGTGTCTGCAGTAAGTTATAATAATATGAAAACGGCCCAGACGCCTAAAACTTATATATATGTCCACCAGGCACCGATAGTCCTGTTTCCATAGTTTAAAAGTAACAATGTATGGAATAATTTGCTTGTACGCACATAGTTTATTATTATTTACATTTACTTATTAATCCTTGGCTTTATCCATACATAGCTTGCCTAGTCTAATTCAATATAGCTGAGCAGCAATTCAGACTTGTTATGCTTGTCTGAATTTACCTTCTTGTGCAAGATTTTGAATGCGGTGCTGCAAGGACTTGAAAAATTTGAATTATGATTGACAATTTATAGCTTCTTAATATGGGAATATTTATCTATACCTCTTAATGTCACGTGAGGGATCGGCGTAAATGCAATGATAATAAATCTGTTAGTAAATCGTGCGTGATGATTGATGGCTTGATCTTTCGAGCTGTCGACGAGCGCGCGTGCTGCTCGCTCGTGGTCTCCTTTCTCTCGCTCAGTGCCGGTGTATCTTCGAACTTTTCCGTAACTCCGAAGTTAGCGCAGCATATATTCGGAGCAGTAAACGACAATAAAGTATAACTTATCTTGATTTAAATTCAATTTGAATTTTAAACAGATTCTGTTTCTGTCGAATATCGTCTGTAGGATTAATTTTCATTTGTTTTATGCGATTATATTTCAATAAACTGCTAAGAACCTAATACGCTTCAACTTTTAAAAATCAACTTTTGTTTTTCATTAATTTTAAACACATTTGTATAGATAAACATTAATATTGCTTGTAAAAATTTCAGTCAGGACCTTTTTTTCGTTGGTGTAGAGATTTCGTGAACTCCAGACATAAAGTCTACAGTTATTAAAGTGATGGTTTGCCACCAAATGCACTTCCTTTCTAAATTCAGTCACTTAATACTATTATCTATAAGAAAAGCTTTTTATCTTACATTCTTTTATTGGCAATAGCCCAATAAGCCTTAATAAGTAACAATCGCCAACCACGCACTCGAATTAACGTGCATTGATCGTGTCCGTATATCTGATCAAAATTTAACGCTCAGCCTGTGTAGCAGATCTATACATGTATGACATAGATGAACATATCATGAACATAAGTGGAGATTGTGTGGAATGCGCTTGGCTGAACATACGGTGATGCATGTCATGAATGTTTAAGGCAAACCTTAGCAATCTAGAACTGCTTTTTATACATTGATATCTTGTGATTGCCACACTTGATGCTCTTTAATTGACCGTATAACCTGTCTCTAATCGCGTAAATTCCTGCGTCGACTCCAATTCCTTATTTAATTGAGGAAAATTGGCATTTGCTATCTGAACATTGGCCATTGTTACCCACAACGCAATAGCATCGAATGATTTTGATTGTCTTAGCTATTCGCAATTAACTATGCATGGTTTGCGATGCTGCTTTCTGCTTTACTGCAGTGTTGCACCGATATGAAAATAATTTATTATATGAAATCATTTATTAGTCCTTGATACCTCAGGGATTGCACGACATCATTGGAATTGGTCGTGGGTTCGATCTTCGATTGTCCATCTGGTGCACAGCTTGTCATTAAAGATTCAGAATTCAGTGTCATTTACTTCACATTATCATTGTAATATAAAGAGCGAATATTCTGAGCCTTAGCTAATAACACAACCGTGGTTTTTTGTGCGATGTCTGCCTGAGTGACGTCCATTGTTTTATCATATTTTGAGGATGTAATTTTTTCCAAATTTATATAAAATGCAAGCACTCTCGCGAATTCCTTTCTCTCAAACAAATATTTTATCCAGTGGTCACCCTATGATTTTTTAATGTTCGATAAATACGCACCGGCATTTGGAATATATTAGGAGGTGCACTGTGTGGATTAGCGATGAGCTTAATTCAAATAACAAGAGCTCTTGGTTAGGTTGCTTAGCAGCGCATGCGAGTTGGACTTCACGACTTAACACTTGTCGACAAATTGAACCGATAAGTTTAAACGTCACGGATGATTTGACCACACATCTACTTAGCTGGCAAGTTATAAGACTATAATAGAACACTGGGTTCGAGCATAACGGGTTGAAAGAATATAACGGGTTGATTTTTCATGACGCGCATTGAATTCTATGAATACTCAGATTTGAACACATTTGAAAAGACGTAGTTCGATCAGCATTATTAACGGGATATACGTTCAGCTCTTCCTTACTTCGCTGATGGCTGGCAAGAATTGCGTTCATTCCCCATAAATTCGACTGGCAATTGATGTGAGAATCGCTAGGCTACGTTAACAACGGCTGGTAAAACAGAATGTACGACGTTTGACGGTTTGACTAAGAACGCTCTTAGTTATCCAACTTCAGGTGACGATTCAGCATACCACGACCAGTTTTCATTAATATCCCGCGACATTATAAACCCGATAATCCTAAAAGCCACCCAAATGTCCCGGTCATTACCAGGTTGTATGAGTGACTGTAAAGAAGCCATTTGTAGTACGTGCAGCGATCGAACGTTGCGGTGTCATTAACGAAGAATTCACTTGCGTGCCTGCCGCAGCCGACACGAGAAGAGCACCTAATTGTAGTGACCGCGCCTGTGTCCGTTACGCCTACAACTGGCCACTACAGAGCTCGTTCTGACAGCAGAGTAGGTTGCACTCAACACATTCTTCAAGGGTTAATTTCAGTACTTTTTGAAGAGTCGATATCTTATAATAAATCTAGCTACAGTGCTATAAAGTAATGTATCAAAATTCAACGAATATATGTCATAAATCGCGCACAAGTCAATATAGATGATTAATTGATGCGTTTCA